GTTAGCAACATATCTCACGAACCACTGAACGGGTTTTCTTGAAACCTTTAAAAAGTAATTATCAGGTGTATATCTATGATTAACTTTTGGTATCAATCCAATTCAAAACGGCCGCCACAACCAAGTGAGCTGAGAAAACATTTATGGCTGCAACCCAGTCAATTTTACAGACATCTAGCTAAAATTAGGTGTGGTAGTCACTGAGACTAATTCACATCACATACTCCGAGGACTACAGATTGCATATCTTTGCTTCAAATTGTAGCATCGACTGTTCGCATCAGTCCTGTTTGTTAGTTAGCAAAATAACTCATGAACCATTAATTGGATTTTATGCAAACTCTCAGAAAGTAATATTTTACATCTTCAACTGCTTAACATCACTTTCAAAAGGCCCACCACAGATATTCAACATTAGCCAGTATAAATATGGCTACAACTCAGTAGGTTTTACAGCTATTGAGCTAAAAGTTGGTGTAGTAGTAGCTGAGAGTCATTCACAACACGTGCTCAGAGGGCTAATAAGCAGCAACGTGGCATCCCTTCAAGGAATACTAATCCTTTCGTTATTTAGCTCGTATTATACCTTTGACTGCCGTGTTCTGCTTGTTTCACTTAAAAAAATAAACATTCAATTATCAATGCATCATTCTTAATTTAAAAAAATTAACAAAAATTAATCTAAAGCCGTGTTCTAATTTGCAACTAAGCCTGTTCRGTTCATGTCATTCAACGCCAAACAAAACGCAGCTCCATAAGGTAAGAGAGCAGTGAAAGTTGTTTGACGGAGTCAAGTCATCAGGTGTCAAACCTCAGAGGACATCAACACATCCCTGATAGTGTTCCTTTCTTTTTTTCTTTCTTTTAATTCAGACGCTTTAAACAAGCTGATTAGAGGTTAATAAAATAAAGCAAAATAACTGCAGTCGGCTCAAGCTGCTGCAGCACCATCACCTGAGAAATGTGACAAACCTGGCTAGCAGACATTACAAACCACATGTGCAAATAAAGTTTAATTTCTGCTGAGTCACCTAGTTTATAAACAACATGCCATTACAGCACACTTGAACAACTGCCAACAACTGTTTGGACGATTAAACTGGAGGTGCAGAATCCCAGAAACCAAACCTCTCATTGTTAATCTGTTTATAGTCGCTGAAATGTAACATACTGTGGGGCTTGTTTAAAAAGCAGTGCTGTCAACGTATCACAAGACGTGATAAAGATTTTCTTAGACTAAATGTGACAAGGAAGGTAAGGCTGAAAATAGCTTGGCAAGTTATGAAGCAAAACAAATGTTTCTCACTCCTTTAATCATTTAGTAATGTGGATGTTCATTAGATTTAGCGAAGTAGACAGTTTGTCAGCGTTATATAGGCAGTCTGACACATAAGTGAGGGGAAAGAGTGAGTCATAAACAGTAATAAAAACAAAAAAAAAAACAGTTTCTTTATAGGTTAGACAAAATGACACCCATCATCTCCAGACTATCTTACACTCTGCCAATAAATACATTTTGTAAACAACTTTCCAACTTGCAATACTTTAGTAATAAACGTGTAAAACGTGTGAAAGTTATATTGTAGTGGATTGAGCTGTTCTGTGTCGATGCCAACATTCAGCTGCTGGTTCTGGATTTGTTGACATTTTTTTTCCCCTTCAGAAAAGATTTTTGTCAGCATCGCCTTTTCCTTTTACTACCAAAAGTCCACACAAGTGTTTAAGTCATTCAGCGTTAGGTTTTAGTTTAAAACCAGCTTGAAATTGTTGAGGATAAAAGCACAAACTACGACGAGCCACACAACAATAATTAAGCACACAAGTCAAGCACACAAAGACAGCAAGTTAGCTTCGCTGGCTAACGTTTCCTGGAGCTAATGACAATAGCTCCGTGGGCTCTGACTACTCTCTGGAAACRAGATGCTACACTGGGTAGTTCGGGAAATGATACAACGCTTGTTGGGATATATTTCAATGTTGCAGTGTGTCCATGTCATAAAGGAAGAAATAAAACCATCTCACGGTGTGTGTGCTGCATGTGCTCTGTGCTTACCGGTGTCAGCGAGCTGTTTGTGTCCAGGCATTAGACTGCTCCCACCTGGCATTCCCAATCAGTGCTAGTCACTGCTAACGTTAGTTCACGGTAACCAGCAACAGTGAGAGCGAGGACGTGCGTTATCAGTCCAATGTTTCCAAACTACTCCTGCGTATTTGTCCCTTATTTTTGTTTTATTCCCCCCCACGGATGTCAAAGACAAAGAAGAAGCTGACTGCAGCTTACAACACTTACCTTAAAAAGCTTGATCTACAACATCTGTGATTTGTTTGATGAGAGACTGCAACAACAAACAAAAGCAGCGGCGGCAGCAGCAGGGGCAATTAGCCAGCGTTAGTAAGCCAAGTGTTGCCACTACACAGAGCAGTACGGCACCTGCAGTGCCACCTGTATGTCTTTTCTTATGGAGCTATAACGGAACCGGCCACGTTTGATAGAATGCTGTCATAAATGATGGGCTTGAATTTAAAGAGGGAGTAATCGTTGCCTGGATGCTCAGACTAATGTGTATGAGAGGCACTCAGCATGACAGCATCCTTCTTCATCTTGGGGTGAGAGCAGTTGGGGGTTCTCAAAGTTCAGCTGGTAAAATATCGTCACCCACTGGACAAAACTGGAACCACGCAGCTCACTGGGAATCCTGGAAGGTAATAAAGCCGTGAAGAAACTCCCCATCCAACCCAACCCTTATAACTAAACTGACAGGCTGGCCAAGGGAAAGTAGYTAAAAACCTTTAGAGTAAATAAAAACGGGGCAAAAGCAGCAAGCTAGCTGAAACCWAAAGAAATGCGAGCAAAATGTAGAAAAAAGGCTAGAAGCTAATAAAAAAGGTTGTCTAGAAGTAGAAACACGCTAGCTAAAGAGAAGCAAAAATGCTAGCTTAAAGCCAAAAGTAGAGAAAAAGAAAAGCTAAAAGCAGTAAATTGCTGGTTAGGAGTAGCAAAACAATACCTAGAATCAGCTAAAGGTAAGCCAAATGTAGCAATAAGCTAGGCAGCAAAACACCACATAAGAACAGCAAAATGCTAGCTAAAAGCAACAATACTAGCTAAAACTCAAAAATAGCAAAAGGCTAGCTAAAGCAACAAGCTAAAACTCAATAATAGCAAAAGGCTAGCTAAAAGCAACAATAACAGCTAAGACTCAATAATAGCAAAAGGCTAACTAAAAGCAACAATAACAGCTAAAACTCAATAATAGCAAAAGGCTAACTAAAAGCAACAATACTAGCTAAGACTCAAAAATAGCAAAAGGCTAGCTAAAGCAACAATACTAGCTAAAACTCAAAAATAGCAAAAGGCTAGCTAAAGCAACAAGCTAAAACTCAAAAGTAGCAAAAGGCTAGCTAAAAGCAACAATACTAGACTCAAAAATAGCAAAAGGCTACTAGCTAAGAATCAAAAACAGCAAAAGGCTAGCTAAAAGCAACACTAGCTAAAAGACTCAAAAATAACAAAAGGCTAGCTAAATGTAGTTTTTAAAAAGCTGAGTAAATTAGCTTTTATAAATTAGCTAGATATAATAAATATCTTAATAAAAATGTTTTCTAAAAGCATCAAATTGTAAGTAAAAGGCTAGTTTAGAGCCAAAATAAATAAATTTAAAAATGACAGCTATGCGCAAAACTACTAAAGCATCAGAGTCAGTTAAAAGCTTTAATAAAAGGCTAACTAAAGTTTGAACAACGTAACAAAAGGCTAGTTAAAAGCTAAAAGAACTTCAAAAACATGTTTTTGATGTAAATACATTTGTCTTAAATAAAGGGAAATATTTGTAACGTGAAATATTTTAAAAAGTGTAAAGATATTCAAGTCACAACCATGTTCTAAATGAGTTGAACGTTTTGATACGTAAAGGCTAAATATTAAGAAGTATGTAGAAGGAAAAATAAAAAGGGAAACAACAGCAAAGTAGAAGAAAACGTTGATCATTTACAGATCTGTGAACTTGGTGTATTTTACATAAAACAGAGCATTTAAAATGTGAAAATGAAACAATAWTAGCCTTAAAACAAATATCTTTTTGAGACAGCAATTTTACACAGTTAAAACCACAGACAGACACTGTTCGGTCACAGAAATCAGTTAGTAAATAAATATGTATATATACGGTTATATATAATATATACGCATGCGCAATGGGAACTTTAATATTGGGAATGGGAAGTGTTTATTTTTYGTTCCCACTCCAATCTGTRAGGTGGTGAAAATTAAGACTYATTTACCCCACTGATCAGTACTAGTGGAATATATATGGAGTAGGCTTTGCGATCATTTAACAACTAGTTTTTGTTAGATGTTAAAGTCACTGAGGGGAAGCTGCACTTCAGAAAAATGCCCACAAGATGGCGCTAATCTCAAAGCCATTCTTCTTGGTTGTCTTTCCGAATAAAATTAGAATTAACTCATTCATTATCGATTGAAAGATCATGTTGATTCACCTTTTAAAACTAATCAATATGCTTCGTAGTTCACATACTTTTCCCCAAAAAGCCTGCAGCAACTCAGAGGCATTTTTATCTAAAGCGAGACCAATTTATTAAAGGTCTCCTTGGTGATGGTTAAACAATGGAGACAGGTTCAGAGAAGGCTCTAAATAAATTGATGTGGCACAAACACCCGTGGTACCAAACTATGGTGAATAGATTCTCATTTATMTTGGCAAAGCTGAGAGCACAAGGATCCTTTCGGTTCTTTGACCTGAGGTAGTGGAAGGGTAGAAATTACATCTCAGCACTGAGCTCATATTTCTGGCTCAGATTGCATTGTACTGTTCACAGCAGCAGCACTTACCCAGGAAGGTTGAACACGACAAATACCTCTTTATTTAAAAAATAATAAAAAGTTTCTTTATGGTTTATCTTTGGTCTTGATTACCTGCGTTTTAATCAAATGCATGCAGTTTAAATTTTTTAAAAGTGTATAAAAGAAGTCACATAAAGCATTTGAAACTATATTACTTTATTATATACTTCTGCCAACAGTTACAGCAACACAAGACGCTGTCAGATGCAGCTCACATTGCACATACAGAACTCTTTACCACCGGGTTAAGGCCGAACCTTACTAAAATTACATTTGCTCAAATAATCCAAGGTTCACGATCACTACAACTCACAAGAAGCTATAAGAAATCTCACACAATAAACACAGACACTAAAACACAAAGACCGACACTATTCAGGAGCTAAAGCATGGTTTGAGGATGAGCTGAGCCGTGGCTGCACCAGGATGTAGAGTCGCTTATCAACGCCACGGCCCACAGACTTGGACCTTGGATTATAGGTGGTGTCTCCATCATCTTCTCCATATAGGGAAGGCGTACTAGCGCAGCGTTTGTATGTGTGAGGATTATTTATTGAGCAATGAACACACAGTGGCCCGAGGAAGAAGAGCCCCMACCCTTGCTCAGATGGGGTGCCTGAAGTTCTTGCCTGCAAAACGGGCTTTGTCACCAAGCTCCTCCTCAATCCTGAAAGAAAAAGTCATGAATTAGTTCAAGTTGCTGTTTTCCCCCCCTCTTCTTTAATGGAGCGTGTTTTTGTTTTTGGGACGGACTCACCTGAGAAGCTGGTTGTACTTGGCCAGACGCTCAGATCGGCAAGGAGCACCAGTCTTGATCTGGAAAAGATATTTAGCAGAACATTAGAGCTGTCATCTAAAAACAAACATGTAAGGCAAAATAAAAAATAATAAAATCAATCAATCACAGTCACTTACCTGTCCAGTGCAGAGGCCAACAACAAGRTCAGCAATAAAGGTGTCCTCTGTCTCTCCGGAGCGGTGGCTGACCATCACACCCCAGCCATTGCTCTGGGCCAGCTTGCAGCTAAAAAAAATAAATAAATAAAATTTACTGCTTTGAATTATGCTAACAAGTGTTTTCGGYCCTGATGTATTGTAAATACTCACGCCTGCAGGGACTCCGTGACCGAGCCGATCTGGTTGACCTTCAGAAGCAGGCAGTTGCAGGACTTCTCAGCGATAGCCTTGGCGATACGCTTTGGGTTYGTGACGGTGAGATCGTCACCCACCACCTGGATGCTGGTGGCCTCTGTGAATTTGGTCCATGCCTCCCAGTCGTCCTGGTCAAAGGGGTCTTCAATGGAAACCACTGAGGAGAGAGATCAGGACCAATGAAACTCAATAACCAGCACACCTGGTGAGGTGCCCACAACAAAAACCTGAAATCACAAATGTTTGACAAGAAACTCAATCCGACCCAGTTATCACACTCTTCTTTATCTTGTTAAATTTAAAATATTCATTGGAGTTCAAAACCAGTTTAAAAGGCTTCAGAGAAACAAAACCAACCTGGGTAATCCTTGACAAAGCCCTTGTAAATATCAGCCAGCTTGTCATGGGAGATGTAGCGGCTGGGATCATCTGGAGACTTGAAGTCCAAGTCGTACTTTCCATCCTTGTAGAACTCAGAGGCAGCCACATCCATGCCGATGACAATCTTGTCGGTGTAGCCAGCCTTGGCGATGGCATTCTTTAGCAGTTCCAGAGCTGATAATAAATAAATAATTAATACCTGCAAACATCTCACTCATGTTTCACTTTGTGTTAGCTTGCAATTAATGCACCTTCTTTGTTCTCCAGGATGTTGGGGGCGAAGCCACCCTCGTCTCCCACATTGGTGGCGTCTTTGCCATATTTATCCTTGATGACATTCTTCAGGTTGTGGTAGACTTCAGCACCAATCCTCATGGCGTCCTTGAAGCTGCTGGCTCCGACCGGCAGGATCATGAACTCCTGCATGGCCAGCTTGTTGCCTGCGTGGGAGCCACCGTTGATGACATTGAAAGCCTGAAAGCAAGGTGGTRATCAGTTTTCTGGCCGAATGTAGTTATGACTAATAACTAGTTCCACACTAATGGTTAACTGGCAYTTCCAGTGTGAGAACTASTTGTGCCAATTTCACTAGTATGCATTACTCACAGGGACTGGGAGAATGACTTCAGGGTTGCCAGCCAGGTCAGCAATGTGGCGGTAGAGGGGAACGCCCTTCTCTGCTGCACCAGCCTTGCACACAGCCAGGGAGACCCCCAGGATGGCATTAGCACCAAACTTGGCTACAGGAAGATAGACAATTATTTAAATACACCGTGTATACTGTGGAATTGTGTCAAGACTACATTAATAATAGAATTCTAGTGATTTTAGTTCATTTTTAGGATTTAATTTTATGTCACTCTTCACTACTAGCCTACAAGTCACACSTCAGTGTTTAAATGTAAATCTTTAAAATGAAGTTTTGCAGAACTGATTAGAATGCATCTCATTTAAAGCGTGTAAACTTCAGGTTACAAGTTTAATTGTTATATTTAATAAATGAGGTTCAAGTGTGACGCGAGTACTTTCTCATAAGAATATCACAAATCAAAGAAAACATTTCAGCAAGAGTCTAAATAATACTTCAACTAAAGCGTTTTTAAACTAAAAATTTTTAAATATGTTTCAAAGTCAATATTAAATTGTAAGATACATTTTGAACATGGGGGTCTGGTGCTCAGATTAAACATGAGTCATTCAGCTCATCTTTTCTTGGAAATGAATGAATATAATTCCACAGATTCAAATTTAATGCTTTTCAATGCCATTTAAGACTTTCTCTTCTTGCCTGCTAAATCCATTTTAATGTCTCATAGAAAGCTTGAATAAAGCTTCAGGAATCCCACTGATTACATATCTAAGTCGTCRACACTATCCACTATAGCAAATATCTGTAACTATCAAAGGCAGCTCAGTAGAGCCTATAATCTTACATTTGTTCTCTGTGCCATCCATGTCCAACATCAGTTTGTCAATCTTCTCCTGCTCCAAAACACTCACATCCTGGATTAGAACATCAGAAGTACAAAATAAAATGTAAAAACTGAAAAACATGTGAATTAGTTTAACTGGTTAGTTGAAAAACACCACACTAATGTTAACATTAAACATCTGAATTTTACCACCAGGACTGAGCTAATGCAGTTTATTTTAGATCCATCATATAAAAACAAATATCAGCAAACAACATATCTTAAACTGAGTAGTTAGTGCTGCTAAGATATTTTGTAGTTTGGTATAAAAGATTTTAAAAACAGTCAACTGATTTAATGTTTATTAGCACAGAGGAATTAGTCAAACAATAAATGGTCCTACCTTGTTAACCAGTGCAGGTGCAATAGTTTTATTGATATGATCAACTGCTTTTGAGACACCTGCAAGGGACAAGCAGACCATGACTGACACAGACAGGAGTGGACCATGCAAAGCAGGCCACACAGATGACCACAGAGCATCCAATTTTATACGARCGAATGGGCCATTTATTATAAAATACTCAAAATAATTTAGCCACTTATTTTTCTTCTTTTAGATCTGTGAACATCTGTTAGTTCCTGACAGAAGTTAGTCTTCAAAAGCAAACTCATGCTGCTGTGCACTGCTTTTGCAAGTCATCCTGTTTTGCTTCACACTTCAATTACCTGATTACATAATGCAGGGGCCAAGAACTCATTTATATATTTAACTGCTCTTTTGACTCCTAACAGGGGGAACAGAAACGACGAATTGGAAAGAAAGAAGAAGAGGAAGACAGATTTTATAGGTGTGTTGAAATATAAAAGAATGGAAGTAACCAGACAGTTTAGTGGAGAGAAAATAGTCATCGTCTTACCTTTGCCCATGAAGCGTGTTTTGTCATTGTCACGGAGCTCCAGAGCCTCGTAGACACCTGTGGAAGCACCACTGGGAACTCCAGCTCTGAAAAGACCTTAAAAAGACACAGGACAATTTATAAATGCCGAGTCATGTTTAAGAAATACAAAAACAGACCACAGTAACCACAAACACAGCCAAATATTTGTAAATAGGAACGTGTTTGTTGAGGCATCAGGTGCACAAGTGGCTTCATATTGAGCAGTGGGGAGTAAAAAAAATAAAAAGTACTAGAGGATTTCATTTCATACGTAGGGAGGAAGCTGTGCTGGCTCAGCTGCASAAAGCTGTGATGTAACGGGGGATGCCAACTGAGCATGTGCAGGAAATTTGTGGCAGGATACCAAACTACACCCCCACGTAAGASGATCGTCCGTTTGGAGTCTCGCAGGAGAAGGAAAACAGAGGAAAAAAAAAAAACACATTCATTTTGTTCAGTGGAGCGGCAGAGATGATGATGAGTCTGGGGATTTAGTGCTTAGGATAAGAGCACACAGCCACTGCCCAGACCCTGAGTTAACACATCACCAGCTGGCAGCAGAGGGGTTTGCTGGAAACATCCCACTCAGGGCAGAAATCAAGTGCTGCTAACCCATTTTAGGTCAAATTTTGAGGAAACGTAATCAAGAGATTAAATCAGGAGTATACAAGTTAAATAATAATAATAATAATAATATAATAATTAAAAAAAATTATACCAAGAGCCCAACCACACAAAACATAACAGGAACAGTAGGTGTTCAACAGAGCAAAAACAGAGTGATGATCACAGACTGACTCCTGGTGCAGCAGACACTCATAATAATGTTGAATCAGGGCTGCTGGACATAAAAGGGAATCTTGTACAAAAAAAAAAAAAAAAAAGATTAAAGCTGTATTTACTCTAAACAAAACAGTTATCAACCATCCTTTGGCCATTAGTTGATTAAATGAATTGATTTACACTTTAGATAAATGTGTCAAACAGCAGTCTGGATGTTTTATGATGCAAGCTGTAGATTTATTTAACACTTTTTTCCTTTGTAAGATGAGAATCAGCTTAAAAAGGTTTGTTAGAAATGCTTCCTATACTGTAAGAGCTCTCTGTGTGTCAACCACTACAGTAACAGTGAGGAGCGGAGGTCGTATGATGTTACAGGAGCTATTTTCACACATTCAACTCATCCACTGTACTCTGGGCCAGCAGCAGGCAGCGGTGAAGGGTAGCCAAGCAGCTAAACACGCCCAACCTAACCCACAAAGTAAGAAAGTGTGTRTAATCATGTATAAAAATGTTTTCAGGTTCCAATTAAAATATGTACAGAAAAGCAAGAACATTCACAATACCTTTCTTAGTGTACAGATCAACCTCCACGGTGGGGTTCCCACGGGAGTCAAAAATCTCACGAGCGTGGATCTTCAGAATGGACATGGTTCTCGATTTTCTGTGGGAAAAACAAAAATATGGTGTCACTAACTCCACAGGCTTCCCTGCACTGTCTCTTACAAATCAGGTGAGCACAGTGACTTGGCAAAAAAAATTTAAAATAAAAACTAAAGGCTTTGCAATAAAAAGTAATCTGAAAACATGAGAACAGATAATGGTTTACAAGCAATATGGCTCTTCAACTCGAATGTGTCTGGGCAACTCAAATGTGTCTGGGCCATGCACACTGCCACACTGATGTGATCTGACAAGCACGGCGGTTTTGTTCAACTCTCTGATGGGTGTGGCTTCTGCAGCAAAAGGAAAAATCTCTGCAGGTCAGTTCTGTTTGAGTTCACGAGAACTGCACAACTCTTGCACAAGTACTGTTGACGATTCCGAAACGATCCTTACAGCAATGTTTGAGGGTAAAGTGTCAAAGAATTTGACTTTGCACAAATACAACGTTTGGCTTCTTTTTGTTTAAAGTGTCGCAATCCTGATATGGACTGCAGGTTTTATCTCAGAGGTCTTATCTGTCCAAATTTTTTGCACTGGAAGTCAGACAGTTTGAAGCCTGTGCGGCCACAATGCCTGCAGCATTACATCGATTACCATTCGTTTTACAGAAGCTGTCCTAAATTCAGGTTGGAGTGCAGCTGCATTAGGACAGATGGAAAATGCTTCCCCTTAAAAGCCTGTGTGGAAATTTACCATTAGCACACACATACAAAATGAAATGGAACCTTTTTCTTTTTAAAAGACTGGATATTAAAACTTAAAAGTTTTAGTATTAACGTAGACAAGTTCCGAAATGCAATGTAAGCTGTGAGGTTAACACATTTTTTCAACCTTCTTTGGAAAACTGGTTTAAACTGACAATTAAATAAAAAACGCATACAAGCCGAGTCAGAAATCACAGGACACCTTTATTTCAGAAAGAAAAGGGAAAACATATCTGAAAAACCCCAGCAAGTAATACGTGATGGGGGCTGTATTTTAGGCAGAACATGGCCACCATCTTGAAAGCCACCATCTTGGATCAARGGCAGGTTTTTGCAAAGACAGGCCTCTTCACCCATTACTGCCGAGGTAGTCCGATGTCATTTTTTCTTTTGTTTCTTAAAAAAAAGTGTCCCGTGACTTCTGACTCACCCTGTATATATGTATACTGTCAAGCCATGATATTTGCCCGATTCAGATACAATTTCTTGAATTTTAGACAAAATGTTATTAATTTTTAATATGCCAATAATTCCAGAGCTTAAGCATCCAAATAGCATTTTAGGCATTAGGCCCAAACTCTGAAATGTAATACCACTCATAATAGGACTGGTAACTGGAAGTTATATTAATAATTCATTGCCCACTAACATAATTTTCCAKTAGCAAAGCAAGCTTTTCCATGTAAAAAATGCATTCTCATCTAATAGTAATTTTTATTTACTGATCATAAACTCAAGTGTTGTTGGATCTTAGTGTTTGACAAAACTAAAAATACAAACGTACCGCATAATTAATMATAGAAATACATTAAAAGTTTATTAAGGAAGTCATTAATGCCGGTTGATTTGAAATATTTCCCTTTACTTTCAGCAGAACAAACAGGGGAGCTACAGAAGCACAAAATGGCGTCTATGGATGGATAAACGTCATGGTTTTATTAGTCTTAAACACTTTTTTGAGCTGCTGGATCCGTGAGTCTCCAACGTGTATAAATGAGGCATATTTTAGACTGCATTAAAGAGACACCTGAAACCTCGAGTCACCTCAGTTGACTTCCTGAATGAGTTAATGTGTGCGAGTCCCAGTGAGAGAAAATGACTGAAGGAAACGCTGACGCTTGTGTGATCTTGTTCCTCACAGTAATTTTCCTTTATGCAACAAATACTGGACACCTCCGTCTTTGTTTTGCCGCAAGCGAGTAAAAAAGGTTCAACTGGTGAGTCTAGCTCGGAGCACAGGACACATCTTAAAACTCGAAACAAAAACAAAAATGGAGAAGTCTGCTGCAATGTGGACTCGCAACATGACACCCCCCCTTCCCTGGCTTTACCCTCACACCCACTGCGGCTCTAAATGGAGAGATATCTCGCCAGCTGACGGCCTCGTTTAAAAATAGCAGACTGTTAAAACCCGCTCCATCCTGCGGCTTCACAAGACCGTGAGACTGGAGGAAAAATGTATTCATGCTAACTCTCGAGCAAACGATGTTAGCTAACACAAGGGCAAGATGACGTCGAGTAAACTCATCGTGTTGTCGAAAATAACAGGAAAATGTGCTTATTTTAACAAAACATTGAGAGCACGAACACAAAACGTTAAAACCGAACACAGGCGCGTAACTAGTAAGGGAAAAAAAACCCATTAAAGTTACCTTTCCGGGCTAACTGTGTGCAAGGACGGTGCWGTCGGTGTCTCGTGCAGGGGCAAGGCAGCAGCAGAGAAGGCGTTCGTGACGCTGTGAGCCGGATGATAAGTGGTCGGAGTCAGAAACGGCGCGACGCCATTGGCTGAAACTGAAATCACTACGGCAGAGGAGCGAGAGGAGGGGCTCACGTTCCACCGGCGGCAGGAGTCAGAGAACCCGGATGAAGGACGACAGGATGCGAATTTTCCGTCCAAGGAGAAGCATCGCTACAGTGAGCTCTGCAAACACACGGGAACATGCGGCGGTTTTAATTTAAGCGGATTGTGGGAAATGTATGCTTTTTGATAGGAGGTTAAAGAGATTAAAATGTAACAAAAATGGCAAGCCAATTCATCATATAATAGTTAGACAGAGACATCTATGATTCATCCAAAAGGAAAAAGATACACTGCGAGTGTGCTATAAACACTTGCCGTGACACACACTGTAATATAATACACTACAGTTTTGGATTGATTCTGGGAGTAAATTATTGTCATCATGGATTATTCCATGGTTTTGGACTATTTTGTATTTAATTTTAAACGACACTTGTTTAAAATCTCAGTCTGCATATCATCACCTGATTTCTCATAACATTGTTTAAGATGCCCTCTGATGGGATATTCTCATTAAATACCTTATTAACACTGATTTATTAATCATGTCATATGAGGCATTGTCCGTTCCCTCACTTCAAATAGAAGTCATAAGATGGCCACAGCTAATCAATGTTAGGGAACACAAAAAGATATTGAGCTGAGTTTGACATGACATGGCATCTCGCAATGTTGCATCAGATTGACYAAAATGGCTTCAACAAAGTTATTTTTCAACATACATTTGTTTTAGTCTAAACTCTGGCAAAAAAATAAAATAAAACAGATAGCAGGCGATACGCATCCCTTTAAAGAATGGCACTGGAACATTAGTGTGGTGTGATTATATGCTACAACGGCCTGCCRTACACCAGGAGAACCATGCGGAAAGTGAAGGTGACGCAGAGATGAGTACGTGCAGAGAAGCAGGCAGGGATGTTTCGGTGTTAGTCAAATGTCTGCTGTGGTCACGTTTCCTGCCAGTGGCTTTCCTCTCTACCCACCCACCAGTTTCATCAAATGAATGGCTACAGAGAGGGGGAGATGAATAATTACTACACAGCAGGAATGAATGAGTGACTCAAAAATTCCCAACTGTTACACCAGCCCATCTTAAAGGAACTGTAAAACACGTGTGGCGTCATTTTAAACGAATTTCCAGACAAATGCAGCCCTGTTTTAGTTGAAAGATCAACGTTTGTACCAGAGAATCACCCCATTTATTAACATGAGCAGGGAAAAATTACATGAACTTGTACCAGACAGAGATACTACTATCAGCCACAATTTGCATTTATAAGTCATAACATGAGCGAGTTGTGGGTTTCCCCTCCACTCATAAAAAAACTGACTTCTTCTTAATCATCTTGAGGCAGCAGGATGTTTTGCAGCTGCGCAGTGCAGAGCATCAACAGCAGGAAGAAGAGTGCTGCTGCAGTGACCTTGAGACGACACCGGGTTAAAGTCAAACTGCGCCACCTGGTGTCCACAGAGAGACTTTTTTATCCTTTAGATGACATGAAGGAGCAGGACCAAAYATCAGACACACTTAAAATAAATAAACAACACATATAGTCACTCAATCACAGCAGGACGCATTAACCGTACATGTTCAGATAATACCTAATTTCCCTCTGGGATCAATAAAGTATTTTTGAATTTGAATTTGAATTGAAATGAATTAAGAGCTGAAAGATATCTAGTTCTAAGAGACACAACTCAAAGGTTGAGTGGTTGTTCAACAAGTTGCACCCCAACAGAGCAGATGATGCAGGTGTGGCTCAATGTGGGGGCAATAAAGGGGTTTAATCGGGTAAATGGGTGGATRTTTTGCTGATTAAACAGAGATCAGGTGAGATGAGATGCTGAGACCTCTGGTGGACGGATGAAGAGAAGACATAACAAACAAACTCGACCTGTAATCAAGTTCAAACCCAGTTAYWGGTAAAGCTCAGGGGTCAGTTGTGGATCTGGGATTTTTCTGTGTTAGGGGCCACAAGGGCCAAGYATTTTTTCAGCATCCTTGCACACAAATCCCTGGTTTTGGTAAGGTGTACATATTTAACCAGTCGCACATTTAAAAAGCTTGCACAGTACATTCTCCTTACCAATTTCACGTGCATTTTTTACAGAACATAGATAAAATACTCTCAAACACACAGCATGTGAGAGAATCCAGCCATTATTTGTGAGTTGAAAGACTTTTTCTGCAGGGTTGTTCAAATTTTAAGAATATGAAAAGACCTGTCAACGTCATTCATGCTGGACATTTCTATTGGTCTCATTASYGCCTCTAGTGTTTSGATCCGGAACTGCACCCAGCATCATCGCTCTTGGGCAAAGGACAKATGAGTGACAGGACAGGGGCACTTTAAGGGAACAATCAAAGTTCAACAGGGGCCAATTCCCCTGTGGCCCCGCTCCTAGACCCACCCCTGTCAAGGGGTGTCCCGAAACTAGTTTTTCTCAATCTGAGTACAAGTACTTCAGTTTGGGTTTGCGCCAGTACTGAGTATTTACTGAGTTAATCATTACACAATAAAAACTATTTTTATTTAGAACAAGTCTCCTTCCTTACAGGACAACAGCGCCTCTGATTGTATAAATCAAATATACAGTATGATGCCGCAGCGTTTAAAAATTTTCTTTCAACTTTGATAATC